AAAAAGCATTCAATAGCCCCATTTAAACGTGACATGCTGATATGCTGATTTTAAATATTGGTCACGTGGTTTCCTAAATAGCATATACATTCGGAATGGTCATATCACAGGTCAAACTATAAGAAATATAGAGATGGTCAACATTAGGAATTTGTAAAGGGATAAATTCTGCACACAATAAAAAAAGAATTACTAAAATGTGATCAGTAGCATAGATTTTATAGCTCAACAAAGACAGGCTTCTTGTAATGTTAATCCTATGGGCAAATTTTAAGTAAGAGATATTGAGATGGACCCAATACAAAATATTTCCGGCAAATAATTGTGTATAATATAAAAAAAAGAATTATCAAAATCTGACATGTATTTTAGGTTTTATCAACAAAATAGTGATGGTATTTTATAAACGAGATATCTCATAAATATACTTTTTCTTCATTTAGCAAACAGATTATAATTAAAAATAAGCAATATAATTACTAATAAATTTTATAATTTACATTAAAACTAATACTATTAAAAATATTTTATTTTGGTCATTTTATAAAAATGAATATTAATATAAAATACCATCACTATTTTGTTGATAAAACCTAAAATACATGTCAGATTTTGATAATTCTTTTTTTATATTATACATAATTATTTGCCGGAAAAATTTTGTATTGAATCGATCTCAATATCTCTTACTTAAAATTTGCCCATAGGATTAACATTACGAGAAGCCTGTCTTTGTTGAGCTATAAAATCAATGCTACTGATCACATTTTAGTAATTCTTTTTTTATTGTGTGCAGAATTTATCCCTTTACAAATTACTAATGTTGACCATCTCTATATTTCTTATAGTTTGACCTGTGATATGACCATTCCGAATGTATATGTTATTAAGATAACCACGTGACCAATATTTAAAATCAGCATATCAGCATGTCACGTTTAAANAATCAGCATTTCAGCATGTCACGTTTAAATGGGGCTATTGAATGCTTTTTACAGAATCTAATTATCTCTTATACTTTACGAGATATAACGATTTTGCCGTGGACAAGATATATTGAACGCCTCTTTACATAGACACAATTCCAGTGCCATATTATGCCCTGATGAATTAATATTCTGACGAGCTGATTATTATATTTTTATTAGTCCGAGATGTGATCTGATTTGCAATTCACATTTATAGAGGTATGTATTTTCAATGGGAAGTTTGTTTTGTGAACTTATAATAAAATGTTTGTTCAAAACTATAGTCTGAGTGAAGAGTCGGACCGAAAGTGTCGTGAATTGTGTGAAGAGATGTCGGCTCTGAAGGCAAACAATGAGTCCGAAGTGAAGGCATTGAAAGCACAGCTCAACACAGCTATCGATTCAATGCATACAATGACTGAAGAGATCAATGATTTGAAACAAAGGTTTGATTTAATCAATAATCAAATGTTATATTTTATTGAAACACACATTACTTTTTCAGTAATCAAGAAATGGTCACAGATTTATGCGATTTATCTGTGAATACCATTATTATTAGTGAAGAGATGTCAGCTTTGAAAGCATATAATGAATGCAAAATGATGACATTGAGGGCACAGATCAGCACATCTGGGGATTCAATGCAGACAATGGCCGAAGAGATCAATGATTTGAGACAAATGTTGTCGACTTTAGATAATAGGTTTGATATAACAGCTTAACAAATGCTATTATTTATTGAATCAGTATTTTTATAAAAATAAAATGATTTTTTCAGTAATCAAAGAGTAGTCAGAGATATAAAGACATTATCCGATAATGTGAAGTATGCAAGTGAAGAGTTTCCCGATTTGATGGTATGGAATGAGTTTGATATGAAGACACTTAAAACAGAGCTCAAGATAGCCAATGATTCAATGCAGACAATAGTTGCAGATAATAATGATTTGAAACAGAAATTGTGTGAAATGTCGACAAAAAACAGTGAATTGAGTGAAGAGTTGTCGGCATTGAAGGCATCCAAACATATCATTGAATCCGATGTCAAACTATTGGACAAAGAAATCAATGCACAGAATATTAGTTTTTATTTTAATATCAATTCTATTAGAAAAATTCAATTGATTTATTAATTTGTATTTTTATGTTTAAACAGTTGTTCAGCGAGTGTTGAACAGGACTTGTCCTCAAACTCTTCATCGATCGGATCCCACAATCAATTGACCACTAATTCAGACAAAACCAGAGATGAGATCAATATTCAGGAGATATTCACTGAAATTAGAGATCAAATCAAAGATCAAAACAAAATAACAAACAATTTATTGAATGTATTGTTGAGAGAGAAGGAGAAGCCGTTGACAGCACTCGAAGGCATCAGACAATCGGTCGAAGACTCTGATGACAGCGAATGCATGTATTGGCAAAGTATTGGCACACTTTGGGAATAACATAACGATTTAGATAAAGATTTTTATATTGTATTACAAATGATTTCAAATTATAATTTACTTTTATTACAATTATTATTTTATTTAATGTAATGATTGGCATTTAGAATTTAAAATTACTAAACTTTCATTAAATTGCTTTTCATTTAAATAATCATATTTTTTTGTTCAAATATTATAAATTTAAAAATGTGTTTTTTGTTGCAAAACATTTGTGGCATTCATTTAAATTGCAAACAAATATCACATTTAATCTCAACTATTTTTAGTCAAGTGAAAAGGGGGTGGGAGAGAAAGAATCTGGCACAATTATATTTAACAAAAAGATATTTACCAGCATTGTATTTTCCCATAAAGTTTATATAGACTTAAAATAAAAAGTTACAAGTGCATTATGCACATTGATAAAATTTATAAAAGTACCTTTTCATAATATGATAATACATAAATAGACCTAAATTCTAAACACATTAATTTACAGTAAACACCGTAAACATTATATGTACAATCAATCGAGTTTTACATTAAATAAAACAACATAAAAAATAACATAATTAATGTTTACAATTATTTAGAAATTTATCATTTGTCAATTATCAATTAATTAAATGTAAATAAATATAAATTAGCAAGCAAATTAACCATGATAAGCCTGTATATATCCGCATATAAATCATATAAAAACTAAAACAAAATCATTATTACAAGTATTTTCTAATCAATAATTAAAACATTGCGAAATGAAATAATTGTTTAAAAGTTATTTCCCATTGAAAACAATGCTTTTGCCATTAAGTGTATTCATATGCATAGCGTTTACGGCATTTATGGCCAGTTTGTCGCCGATCTCTGGCGCCGACCCAACCGTTGACGTCAAGACCAGCTCCGGTACAGTGAGGGGACACACAATACAAGTGCTCAGCAAACCTGTCAACGCCTTTATTGGTATACCATATGCTGAGCCACCGATCGGGCCGTTAAGGTTTGCGAGGCCTAAACCACTGACCAAACCATTGCCGGTAATTATTAAAATGCAATTAAACTCTAGATTATAATAAAAAGCAACAAGTTCGTTAATTATTTATTCATTAAAACACTAAACAATTGTTGTTATAATCAATGTTTTAATTGTATATAAAGTTATGTAATATACAAAGTTATTATCATGGTTAATGAACATATGGATACTTTTTCAACCAGGGTATAATTGATGCGACCAAACCTAAAAACTCATGCATGACTGGCGGCACCGCTCAGATGGGAGAGGACTGTCTATTTGTGAACATATGGGCCCCGCATAACACTACGGGTGCCCTAAAGCCAGTAATGTATTGGATATATGGCGGTGGTCTCGGCTCCGGTAGCATATTCTCGGGCGCCAACGACGGCAAGGCTTTGGTTGCCGACGATGTGGTCGTGGCATCGGTTAACTACCGGCTCCGCACGTTTGGCTTTCTCTATGGCGGGCCCGATAGCGACGCGCCCGGGAATATGGGTTTCTATGATCAGGTGCTCGGCTTAAAATGGGTAGGTTTAATAAATATTATGTGTATGATTTACATACAGTAGATTGATGTATTTTTTGTGTAAATTATTCTTGTATAAGACATTAATTGTAATTATAAACTTATTTGCTATTGTTGTAAAATGACAACAAACAAAGATTTTTACCTAAATTTATGCTAGTGTTAAATATAGTTTTTAAAAAATACTATCGTCACGTTTGGCCAATACCAAAAATTATTATTAATATTTTAATACATATATTATTAATAATATTAATGATAAATTACAGTTTGTACAATAAACTGTTATGCATAAAAATCTCTCTCTCTCTCTCTCTCACATCGGAATATAAGTCATGTCTAAACGGTAATTGCTTCACTCATT